AGAGAGAGAGAGAGAGAGAGAGAGAGAGAGAGAGAGAGAGAGGGAGGACTAATGGAGGAATGACCACCGATCGACTGATTTGTGTGCATGTTACTATAACAGGACGAACTAACTATCAGCCTATATTCATGTGAATTTGCGCAGTTATAAAACATGCAAGAAATGATGCAATACTCTAATAACAACTACTACATGAGCTACTAAGAGAGAGATGGGGGATGATTGACAAGCAGCACAACTAAACGGAATGTGGAATGTGATGTGGATGCGCTACGGTCCACCGATCCATGGATAGGACGACGGAAAGGGACCACCCGCTTAGCAAGACGACAGGACGACATCTGACTTGACTGCCGAGCGCGCGGGCTAACTAAGAACGGAGAACGAGAGTAGCTTCCCGCCTCTTCCGTCGTTCAAACTGATGTTTACGGTAGCACGGTGATCGGATCGTGGTTTCTTCTCGGTGCGTACCATAGAGCTTCCTGATCAGATGGAGTGGCGGGGTAGTTGGACACTTTGAACACCTATGTCGAACGTTGGACCCTTATCAAGAATCTTTCAACCGACATGACTGGGATCCTCAGGGAGCTCGACGACCAACTTCACTTCACAGAGTGATATCCGGAAGAAGCCCTTCGTGAGCCCCAATTACTGTCTTTTAATACTAGAATGATGGACTCTAGGACTCGAGTGGATCAACTCTGGGAATTACGCAGCTGCTTCTCACTCACACAAATACTGTAGCCCTTGTTTGGCTCGACGGCGGAAGGGATGCGGATAGAATCGCTTCTTATTGACGATAGACCTACCGGTATAATGATCTTAACGAGCCCCCTCAGGACTATTCTACGTAGGGTTTCCATGTACATTGTCACTTTCCGACTTGAAGTTCGACGGTGCATCTCACAAGCGAAGTGTTCTTAGTGATGTCTAATCAGAATGTTCTTGCAGGAAGATGCTGCCAAGACTGCTCACGAGCCCACTCCTAGGCCGGTAAGACTTCACTTTCTTTTGCTTGAAAGTTTTTGGATTGGGATCTTATGGTTTCAAAGTAGTTGCTACAAAAAACCGGAATATGAGACCTGAGTCGTCCGGATACCCTTCTCAAAATGCATTACTTATAGGACGAAGGCACGAAAACCGCACCTGAACCAACACCTAAACCTGTGAGGCAGAAACCTAATTTGCTTTCGCCATTGGATGCACTCTATGATTCCTACTTGATTGAGTTAAGCAGGAATAGTTGTTCTTCACATACATATATAAATACATACATACATACGTACATACTGCATACATATACTCGAGATCCCTGAGATCGGGTAGGCGGGGCTGCATTCTTCAACTTAACCTGAAGGTGTCTATGCTTCTGGTGAGATATTTTCATCTTGACACAACTGTTGTCGTGTCTCTGTCCAACACAGAACAAGATGACAGTTGTCCCAGACTGGAATATTCCACGAGTAACCAATTTCGCGCCAGGTTCAAAGCCACGCCTACTCTGGCTA